TTATTATAAATTCATAAATTACCTTTTCATGATAAAGAGTAATTTTGAACATTCAGAGAATTCAAAGCACTTAAATGGCAAGTAAGGAAACCAAGGTAGAGAGAGGAAAAATGTCCAAGGTGAGATCACACATGACTTCAGTGGAAGAATGAGGTCAGAAAACAGGTTTTCTGAAAATTAAATTTGAGAGCCTCACTGCTAAATCATGCTGTGATAAGAAAAAATAAATAAATAAAAAGGCGCAGGTACAGAAAGGTAAAACAGAAATTCCAGAACAATACTTAAAACACTGACATTACAATTACATATATAATGTAAGACAGCAATGAAGATAAAGCAAAAATACCAATATTAATGCATCATTAATTCATCACTCCTTTCAGAGGTCTAAAAGATATTAAAGCATTTTATCTTCAACAAGTACCTAATTACCTAGAACTACTATTGTATTTTTTTCAAATGCTATGAATTGGTTTGAGTGTAGAAAGTGTAGAAAGTATAATTTTCATGTACGGCATGCTTTAGTCACAGCACCTACAACTCAAGCATGAACTATTTTTGCTATGATAGACTAATTTAGACTCATGTACCATTTTAAGATGAAGAGAAATGCTCTCAGCTTCAGCTGCACCATCCTATGACTATCAGAATCCCTCATTCTGATACTGAATCTTTTTAAAATAATACTGTGCATGTTTATTTGGGTGGTGTGTAAATGTTTTTTTTAAGCACCACTTTTCAGTATCATGTTTAAATGTTTCCATTTCTCAGAAGGAATCATCATGTCACCATCCCATACCTTCAGCAGCTGCCCATAAAAGATGAGAACACCAAGAAGCACCTGTGTGTGCTTCCACTGACACTCACAGCCCACAGACAGTGGGGGAAGCCAAGTGCCAGCTTGTCTCACTATGTTTTCCCTCTCACAACTACAAGGTGGTGCATTTTACCAGAACCAACCTGCTGCTGCAGGGGCAAGCTGCACTGAAAGCAAAGTCAGTGGGTTCTTACATGCCTTCACTCATTTATGCCAGCTGTAAAGCTCAGGGTGCTGCAGGACAAGGTGGTGCAGATGGAGCCCTCTGAGCATGCACACTGACCTGCACAGTGGCTCCATGATGACCAAACCCAACGCTACACAGAAAGCTGAACCCACTCCAGTCAGCACCTTGCTGTCGGAGCGCCGCAAGCAGTGCAGAACTACATTATTAGTGACTGCTTTTCTTCCTTCCTTCCTTCCCTCCTCCAGCCTACAAGAAAAATATTCATCTTCTCCCAGAAGATCTAGTAACAGTTGACTGAACAGCTGTCAAAAAAATAAAGAAATCAACATTGGGAGCTAATATACTATGTAAACATCTTCTCACTCCTATACTCCAGGGGTTGCAGGATGCTAGATTAAGGATAGAGCACAAAGATACTTCAGCTGAGTTTGGGGAATATATTTAAGGATGGGTGCTTCTGAAAACATTATGATAAATTTGTCTAGATGAAATATTGATGAACAGATATTTATTTCTTGCCAGCCTTACATTAATAGCATTGAGTTTTTCTAGCAAACATAAAACTCCATCTTTCAGGCTTCCCTTTCAATAGCTTCAGGGTTTCAGCATTATGGTGCATATGGTAACTGAACTGCTTTTAATGACCCAATTGAGAACACAGTTAACAAAATTAGTATTTTTACTTCCATTTATTCAGAAAAGCAAGTCCATCAACTTACTGCATTATGTGGAAGTTTGAGATTGATTACTCACGATTTAAAACATTTATGAAGACTGGCAAGAATCTATACCGCAGGCACAACCCTGAGTACACCCATACTCTTGTTATGGCTTGAACTCCAGCTAATTCCACCCCACTTAAACTTTACACCGATTTCCACTTATCCCTTTGAATTCTCAAGCCTGAGTCATGGCTTCTCTGACCCCACATTGAAAAACTTGTTGGATCAACTGAGTATTGGGTTAACTTTTAGTTCAATTCTTTACACCAGTGAGAGATATTACTCTTCCAGAGCACAATAAGTCAAAGTTTGGACTCCATAATCTTGTCCTGCAGCCCTAACCATTCTAACCCAGGCAGCAGCAATTGCATCACAGATTCCTCTTGTGGTGAGCTCTCCAAGACAAGGGGCCATGCAAATACCTGAAAATCACTGTCCACTATGGGGAAAACGGAAAAAGCCATCCTCTCTTGTCCCTAGGCCTTCTGCTTTCATGGAGACCTTTAAGTGCTACACCAACCAGCTGTAGCCTGCAGCAATGGTACTGTTGGGCCTCCTGCTGTTCTTTTCTTAAAAGCACCGCTGGTCTTACACCCCAGGGAGCCTGAGCAGGACCTCAGGCAGTGGCACCAAAACCCGACAGAGAAGCCAGTGCTGTCCTGGATTGCCTCTCAAGGTTATCTGGGGAGAGCTAGTGAAAATTCAGTGTCAAACTGTCAATAACAGGTTTAGCTGGAGTGACTCACATCTTCAGGGAGGTGCTAGCCTTCCCTATGATCACTTACTCTTCCCAATTCCATGATACTGATCTTCATACTGGCACATCTGGCTTTAAACAGTTCTCAAACTGAGGCAGCTAATAGAAAACTGCTCACTTTTTGAAGTGAAGATGTAAATTCATAGGGGAAGTGATGACTTTCAGCATGACTGAAATGGGCAGCAGGAAGTCAGACGTTCGCTCTGTGATGGAACTGAACCCCAGGGTGATCCATCTCAGGAAACCTCAGATCTGTATCACTGAAGGCTGCTTTCGCTAATAAATATTTTTTTTTCCTTCCCAGGTTTCTATTAATAAAGAATTATTGACATTTTCCTCTTTCCCACTTAGCTTTTACTGTCTCAACTTTACTATAGTTTATATGCAACATTAAAGCTGCAAAAGATCTGACACACAGTTTTAGCAGAAACTCTAAGCTTAGAGATCCATGTCAGTCTCTAGTATGGCTTTCCTTAAGCTATTCAGATTACAGCTAATTCTCTGAACAAGAGATGGTTTCTTATCTTTTGCTCATTTCCTTCTAGTTCCTTTGGACTTTCACAAATTATTAATTTCTAGTCTTGAAATGCTGCCCCAAAACACAGCAACAATCCTAGGAAACTTTACCAGCAGCCAGCTGACAAAAAGAATTATTTTGGGCATCTTTGGGCCGAATTTCTGATCCACTTGTGTGTATATAGATATATACAAAACGTAGCCCTCCCTCCTGGCAGGTAACTGGTGTTGCCACCGTAATCACTTGGCATTCTTAAGGCATTGAAAAAGATGAAATGTTTGAACATCACATTTAAGTAATTATTACAGTGTAAGTGAATACCTAAATGAGGACACATGTGGAGACTAAAAATTACCTTAGCAGTGATTACTTCCAGCTCTTGCAAGTCCCTGGCAAACACTACATAAATTACTGTTGGATCACAACTTGTGGACAGCTCTTGAAGTTCAATAGCGACTTTATTTTAAGAACAACAACACATAAATAATGCACTTTAAGGTTTAAAAATAATTGTGAAACAGGGACCTACTGAATAACTGTAAACTATCTTAACTGAACCCCAGTGAAGGGAAAGTTGTTCCATTTATATTACAGAATATTTTGATTTTGAAGACTTTTGTCCAAGAAAAATCCTTACACAGAAAGAAGCACACAAATTTTAGAGTAACAACTGTCAGAACTCAAAGATCAGATCTGTACGTGTGAATAAGATCTGCCTCTTTTAAAGATAAAACTTTGAGGAAATTACACACGTAATGTGAGATAGGCAAATGCACGGAAAACTGCCAAAATTTCAGTGACACAGCAGTGTGACAACATATGAATATGAATTAAACTGCTTTTTGTAGACCTGGAGAATTAATAGGAGGTTAAGAGCAAAGAGCTTGGTTTCAGAACTTAAAAGAAGGGAAGCAACAGTCTGTGGAAGGTTAAATAGCTGTAACTAGCAATGAAAACTTGCATAAAGAGGATTGGGTTCAAGTTTTCTGAAGTAAATGAAAACATTTAATTAAAACATTTGAGAGGACCTTGTCTTCCTACTTTGATCCTAATAATGCTTTGTTGTTGAATATAGAATATCGGTCTTTTTCTGGCCAAAAAAACCCCAAGCAAAATATCACAATTAAAAAAAAAAAAAAGATGCATTAAAGAGTGTGGTTGAGTCTCAACAGTCACAGATGGATCATGCACTACTGAGTAATCAGATCTCCAAATACCAGCTACGCCCCAGGAAGTAAAAGAGCTTTTATTGTTCTCCACTCAATTTTTTTTTCTGTCCAATCTGTTTGACGTGCAAAGAATCCCCCTCCAATGAAAGCATGTCAGAGCTTTCCTTGGAGACTTTTTTTTAGCAATTAATAAAAAACTCAAAGGCATATGCATGTAAAGAGCTACAACATTCATGAAAAAAAATCACAAAACCCGTTCCTTAAGACTGATGTCCATTTTTGACTCACAAGAATCAGTAAAACACACCATAACCTGAAAAAAATAAAGATAATAAAGTTGGTCATTCTTAAAATACTACCAAGTGTAATTACAAGCCCCAAAAGTGCAATTCATGGGCTTACTAACAGACAGAAAAATGGTCCAAAGAGAAATGACACTGGATAGTCTAACAAAAGCTATCACTAGCTTATTTTAATAACATCCAAGTTAGGCTTACTGAGGAGTTTCAGTGAGTTTTTATAAATGTAATTTTTCACCAGTCTGTATTGAAGCTTTCCACATACTGAATACAGATAATTTACCCACTACCACAGCATTGAATTATGTGACCAGAGGTAAAAAATAGGCTACATCTCTGACTTGCATTATGTCTCACATTATAAAGCCCAATGTTAAAACTGGCAGCAAGGTCAAGACCTACTCTGGAATCCTCCATTTATTTAAATTAGGAACTTACACTAGTAGTGTAGAAAATACAGCAACCAAAATAATAAAATTATTGAGATGTCTGAGATCAAATTTAAATTTAAATAAATATTTAAAGTCTTTACCAATAATTTCAGGTTTACTTATTTATACTATAGCTGGCATATCCAATAACCACAACAACAACAAAATAGCCAAAACCAACAAATATTTCACTAAGCAGCATATAAACACCAATTACTGTTAATAGCTATGATTTTATGAGATGGTTGAAGTGTACTTTTTACCGACTGATAGTAAATGTTTATAAAAAACATTTTTTGACTCATGGTAGGGAACCAAAAAAAAGTTAAAATTCTTCAAAAGCAGTGAACAGATTCAAATACAAGATAATGATTGGGTTTCAACTATAGGTTTTACTTTAGTTTAGAAAGAGGTAGTTTGTAAAAGACCAGCTGCAAAAATAATATCTGCTAGCTTTTATATTTAGCATATCATAGTTGAAAATTAATACTTTGCTTTAACTACCACATTGTACAAATTACCCATTTCATCACAACATGTATATATACTTTTTAATCTGACTCTGGAAACAGAACCAAAAATTAAGGCCTCTGAGAATTTTTTTTTCCCCTTGAGAATTTTAGATTCTTGTATATATGAATGGACAAAAAGTGTACATATAAAAAAAAAAATCTAAGGTATTTATTATTACTAAAATATTTATTATCACAAGAAATTGGTTATATTGCACATGGACCCAAGCATTTTTAGCATGATGTGATTAAATTTATTACTACATAAAGTTTTAGCTTTCCAAGAATAAAATTCATCAAAATATTAAAAGGATAAAGGTTCAGATTTTCCTTCCTTTTTAAGAATAGGCAAATTCAATTAAATCTATAGCAATTGTTAATGCCACTATTTCAATTCAACAAAAGATGAACCTAGGTAAAAAATCAGGAGTGTAATGTTTATGTTATTTTTCTCTGTTCACAGAGCACTAAGATGAGTAATTAGAAAAAAACTGTTTGCAAATGCAAATACAATGAAGCAGCCGTTAATTAGCACATGCAAATGTAAGTTCAGAAAATTGCTTATTATCTACAATTATTTCAAAATGTTAAGTTCTATTTATACAAAATTAGAGATTATATTCTGTCTAATTAGGTGTAAATTTTAAGGATATGCATTAATTATAATTTGTCTTTGCAAATAGGATTAATTAGTGTTTGCAATAAGCACGTGCAAGTGAAGATTAACCACGAATCACACTTGCTCAAGTAACGGACTAAATGAATCAGCATCACTTTTTAAAAAAATAAATTTTTAAACAAAGAGAACCATGTACTTCAGTATCATTTCAGAAACTTTCACAGCAGAAACACACAATGGGCATGTGATTGTGCCCATAGAAAAGGCAGCGCAATGCACGTTGCTTATGATGGAGCAGAATTCCCTGGTGGAGTGCTCCCATTTCGCACAGACCAGGATCCCAGGATTCAGTGTGACAGCTGAGAAAAGGTAACAGAATATTCACTTCCCTTTGCCTCAGAAGTGACAGAGCTGAACACTCACACTGTGTCCCTCCATGTAAGGCATGGTTTCATCACGAAATGAGGTCTGACCAGAACCTTCATACAGCACAAAAGCCACACAAAGCCAGAGCAAGACGTAAATTTTAAGTAATTTTTGAATTTGGAGAACCAAAGAAATAAACCAACAAGAAATTTCTGTCCCCCATTTCTTAAAACCTGCAAATAGCTTTCACTTCCATCTTTGCATATGCATTCACAGGAACTGTAAAAAAGAAATAAAAAAATCATACTATTCTATTTATGTTCACACAAATAAATGACTATCATATTCAATTTCAAATCCCATTACAAGAAAAAAAGGAAAAAAAGGATGGTTCCCATCTCTGGCACCCTTTATAGCAGCCTTTTAAAGGCAAGGCATATTTTTTTTTTCTAGTAATGGTGAACCCTCTTTCAGGCAAATACAGTGACAAGTCCCTATGTGTAGGACATGACAGTTTCATGCATCCATACAAAGTGACACAGCAATTTATACTCATCAGTACAAGACGGAAATTTTAGCACCTTTCACATACAAAAGGTCCACACTGGAAAACCTCCATTGTGCTAATTGAGAATACAATGATGGACAAAAGGCATAGCACTAATGAAAAAGAGCTCTTTAAAGTAAAAAATACATAACAAATTAAAAAAACCCAACCAAATACCAAATACCATTCTCCGGACTTACAAATAATAATTATTTCCTCTACAGACCTACAGCTCCTCATATTTTTATAAAAAGTTGTGCCTGGGTCACTGACATTACAAAGATACTTAAAATTCCAACAGCTAACTTAATACAAATCCACAATCAACATTAAGGTTTTTGGAGGATGTTGACTACAGCTGGTAGCTAAAAACGGTTTTGCACTCAGGCCGATGTGCAACAAAATTCAGTATGTAAAGGCAACTGCTTTTAAGTTCCAGGTAAGGATCTGTGTACTCATCTGACCTAGTTCACCAACAAAGATACTGTTCAAAATGGAAGTTTATATTTTGCTAAAAGAAGGCCCTAGATCTTAAATATAATTTAGAGCTACCTTAGAGCCTAGTGGCGTATTACACTGCTAAAACTAACTGTTCTTATGAAACAAGAAAACTACAGTTAGATGTTGAGTTGTCAAAGTTAATATTTATTGTAGCAAGCAACTTTACTCTTCTTAAAGTATGTTATTAAGAGAGACCCAAGAAAAAAGCCCTTTGGATATCTTACTTTATATAAGTTTTAGAGATCCTTTGACACTTTACGCTGTGATTTGGATTTTGTTTCCATTTAGGGCTAGAGATGAAACTGTAGTCCTTATGTAGGTACTATAATCATGTACAATCACAAACTGTTTTCCCAACTTTGCCTAACCTCAGGTCTCATAAATAATTTAAACAACAAAACCAGAAGTTTTCAAGCATGGCTATTCATCTACCTGTAAAAGCCAGAGTTGCTACTGGCCAATTCCTACCTTGGTAAATTGAAATTAAGAGGTGTCAACACCAGCACACTGCTTATTATAATCATGTATCACTTGATCAACTAATTTGGAAAGGTTGTACTGAATTCAAAGCAGTTACAACAAGGCAGCTTTTGTATATTATGGTATGTCTAGTGCCTGTGTGCCATCTTTAACATGGAACAATAGCAATTGGTGATTAAATAGAGCAATCTAGCTAGAAACACATTCTGTGGCCTTTTTCTAACCAGGCAACAGTTTGAATCTAAGGATGAGAATCTAAAGTGCCCTATGGATTAAATATTCTCTCTCCCAAAACTTCTCCTATCCCCACAGAGCTCAGCAAAGTAATTTTAAAGGAACATTTTAAAATAAACTCTACATGTTGGTTTTCTTGATTATTTTAGTTCTGACTAAAGACAAGCAAAATAATAGAAATTAGCAGGAAAGGAAGTGGTATAAGCTCCTGCACTTCCAAGGGTCACTGCCATTCTCTGACAGCTCTGCAGATATCAAAACCAGGCCTAATTGGCAGAGCATATCCCCACAATGCAAGGACCAAAGCAACACTGATTTAGACACAGAAACATCTCTAGCAAAGATTATTACTAAAGTGCAGAGCCCATCATGTAGGTCCTCCAGTTGTTAGCTGCAGCTGAAACTTGCCACAGATCCGGACTCTGTAGTCAGATAGCGGCTTCTAAAGTCAAAACAGGTGAAAATGATAGCAAACATAGGAGGAAGAGTCAGAATATTTAAATATCCTCATTATTATTTCTGGAGTGCCTGTGCACCAGTCAAAGCTTACTTGCATCAGTAATACTGATGTGCTAATTCAATATGCATTCAGGAAACCCACACCAGATGCAGTAACTCAACACTAACCAAGAGCTTGGAGAATTGCAGGGGAAAAATAAGTAAGTAAATAAATAAATAAATAAGGATTTTGTGACAATCTTTGCTGTAACTTATTTTCATAACATGGCCACACAACCTACTTTGCAATAACTGATAGAGATGCTGAGTAAGGCAAAGAAGTGTAAGTAAAATTTACGCAGTAACTTTTTCCAATTGGAAATTTCATTCTACAGTCAAAAGCTTTCCCTCCTGGCTTCACTGGTACTTCCATATAAACTTGAATTTCAAGACTTGAAACTATTGGTTCTGCACTATCAATATGACTCTGAAGAAAATAAAAAAGACATATTTCAAGGAGAAATGCTGAGCGAAAATAGAACTGCAGATGGGGAAGATGACTTCACAAATGAGCACAGAAGTAGCATGGAAACCAAAGTGCTGACAAAGAAAAAGTTTTGGAGGAAAGGAAAAGGGATACAGGGAGGAATAGAGACTAGGGAATTAGAGAATTGTAATGGGTCAACGAGGCAAGCTTACAAGACAAGGAAGTGAAAGCACTGGAAGTTTCCAGAGAACATTTCAGAAGAAGATAGAAAAAATATTAAGAAAAATTGAACACTCCATGAAATATATTGTAGAGTTTTCATCCCTGATTCCCTCCCCAATGCCTTTCACACTTGCACTTTCCAAAAGAAAATAGTTTCCTGTAGGCAGCAGACCTCTTTCAGCAATAATGCATTTGTTAACCTGTGAGAACTGACCTAGACTTCAGTCTTGGGAGAGCTGTAAGAGAGAAAAAATGTCATGTGCTGTGGGAGCTTTCCCTGCTGTTTACTTGAAATATCAACATCAGCTCTTACACACACACACACATACACACACAGTGGAACAAATTTATGCAAATAAGGGTTGGAGAACAACATTTCACATTACTGTTGAGGTTATACTTAATGAGTTTTAGCAAAAAGGAGGGGGGAAAAAAAAGCTTACTATGTGCAAAAGAAACTCCAGATAACTAAGAAAATGTGCAGAAGAGATTTCGAAAGACTCACCCTAAAGCCTCGGGGTAGTTCAATATAATGTTCTGGCATCCCAAACTGAACAAGGAAATTGAGTCAGGCTGCTTACATTTCCTTCTCCGTCAATCAAAACAGAGCTTCCTCTGGCTACAGGTATTGAGCTGTACACTGTAAATACTTCTGTAGTTTTCTCAGTCTGATGGCTACGAAAGTCTGAAGCAGCAGCAGGCTTCCCCTGGG